CAGTCAATGTCATGAAACAGAATGCATGTGAACTGCTTTATGGAAAATGAATTTACTCTGTAAACTTTCACCCAAATCACAATAATAAAAAAAAAGTGTTCCAGGAGGAGGAATGTGTTTTGGACTCAGAGACAAAATTTATAGATAAACACCTGCTTTATTGACTATCACGTCATTGGACATTTTGCATTTATGACAACTTAAAAAAAAAAAAATCTAAGGCAGCATCTCCAATGGTCTAGGCTCCATGCAGGACCACAGCCAGGCCCAGGCCACCTTCCATATGCCCCAGTGAATGATATACTGGAGGCTCCAATGATAAGAAGGCCCTATGAGGGACAACAGTTTGCCACAGAATGCCTTCTCCCATTCATCCAGAATATGTTAATTTGCTAGGCAACGGTGGATAGCAAGAGGTCATAGGCAGGCAGGGAGTCTCGAAGTAAGGACTTGAAGGTACCAGGGAGATTGGTTATGGGATGGGCATGAAAACTATGGGTGCAGAGAGTTTGCATATCCCTCATTCAAATGAGACAGATCCAACTGGTTGCAAGGGGATGCTGCAGGGCCGGGCCCTACCACTGTACTGCCATCCAGCTTCACAGGAGGCACCACTGCAAGGTCTGGGCATGTGTGGGCAATGACCTCCACCTCCTGTGTGTTTACCTCACAGGTAGTCCTCCACCTGATCCCTGCGTGTTTCTGGCAAGAGGTGCTTAGGCGCAGGTTGGCTACAAGGAACTACACCACTATATGGTTGGCTGCAAACTGCCCCAGAACACAAGTTTCAATTGTTTATTTTCCCATTACCATGGTACTACCAAACTTGATCTATGATTTCTTGGCCATGACTGTATTATACAAACATGATCAAAAGTAACAATTTGGGCTATTGAATGAGAGTGAATGAGGCCAAAATTCATATGGTAATGTCCTAGAACATGGGTGGTATGGCGCCATCCAAGAACTTTTTGATATAATTTCATAATTTGCCATGTGTTGCATGTGTTCACATTATATACATGGGTGTGCTATTGATGGAAGAATATGGTAGTTTTTAACATATTACCCGATGCAACACAATTCTCCTTTAGTGGTCTCCCTCCAAATCATCATTGTACTCTTAATTGAGGAAAATGGAAGCAAGAGAACCCAATTTTTTAATTTTTATTTTTTAACCTGAGAACAATAAGATATTTCCAGTGTACCACAGGTGTAACACATTTTCTCATGCCCATTTACTGTGAGAAATATGTTTTATGTATTATACTAAGGTAAGATCAGTGGTTGCATGTGGTATTATATGTATTGTAATCATACATGCCAAATTTTATGGTACAATTTGGATTTTAAAATGTTCTGTCTCATGTCATCATAAATATACATATTTTTCTATAACTGTATGTTGCAATTTTTTGGTTGAAATTCATGGGCATCCTACGTATTGCTGTTACATGGCTCTAAAATAATAACATTCTGCATTTAGCAGTTTCATTGCTTTATGGTCACAGATTGGCCATACATACTCAAAAAATTATTTTGAGAAATTTTGAAATGGTGGTTTAAAGACACTGTTCTTTTGCAAATAGTCTGTGGACTTCTACACAATCAAATTAGATTCATGTTTCTTCCTTTTCCTGCAAAATGATAAATACAATGATTATGTATTTTTAAGTGTTCCTTTTTATATCATTATTACATAATGACAATTAAAAAGGAAGACATTATTAAGGGCCTTGACATTTTTAAGGGAGAATCCATAGCATATAATTTCTGCCATAAAATAACGAGAAAAGAACAGATTAATAAATAAGAAAATGAATGAAAGCAGAAGGAAAAATATAATCCCAAATTGTATTATCAATAAAGGACTAAGGTTAATATTTGTTTGTTCAGAGCATTTGCTGAACCATTTTCCAAGTAATTTTTTTCTTATTTTTTTGTAAATTGTATAGTGTGTGTGCTTGTATTACAGATCTGGCTCACTGACAGATTCAACCTTCTATTCCTTAATTTATACAAACTACTATTTTCTGCCTGAGAATATTTATTAGATTAGATTTATTTATTAGATTTTTCAATATCATTTTCAATATCATCTTTATTTTCAGTACCAGCTATAATTGTTTACTTGGGAAGGAACTTTTTTTTTTTTCTTTTCTCAAAATAAACAATGCTATAATCACATCTTTATTTATTCAGAGAAAATATTATTTCTCTGGAAAATTGAGTAACTGGCATCTGGGCCCTCATTCCTGTGTGGAAATGATACACTGGAGCTGGATAGTATCATTCTCCTTTACATGGGTCGGGCTTACACCTTCCCATTTGTACCTCTATGAGCTCTGGTGGCCTAGTAGGAACTCTGGTGGCATAGTGCCTAAGGCATCTGACTGCTAACTAGAAGGCTAGTGGTTCAAACCCACCAGCCACTCTTTGGAAGGAAGACTGCACAATCTACTTTTGTAGAGATACTGCCTCGGAAACCCAAGGAGGGATTGCTATGAGTCAATTTTTTTTTTTTTTTTTTTTTTTACATCAGTCAATTTTCTTTTATAACCTTTCCTGATTAAGCTGTTGTCTTTTGAGTTTATGACCCTTATATCTTGAGGTCAAAGAGTAATTTCAATTTCAATTTATTTTAGTAATAATTTTGATTGGTATTATATTTGTTTTAATAATCTAAAATCTATCGTTTATATGAAAGGTAAATGTTATGTATCAAATCTTTTAAAATTACTATTGAAGATTTTATGCTGTGTGGCTCTGAATTTGATAAATAAATATATATATTTTTAAAGTTTGATTGCATACCCTCTAATACCCTCTAATTATCAGAACTAAAGGAGACTTCCATGATGCGTTGGAAAGTATTTGCTTTATTTTCCAGACTACACCTTAGTCCTACCTACTCCTCACCATCTTGTACAGATGAGGCATACGAAGATTAAGTAACTTGCCAAACATTGCCAATTTCATTAAAGACAGAATTGGGAACAGAATATGAACACCCCCCACCCCAATCATTTAATTCACAGCCTAGTACTTTCTATCTTATGAAATATTCTTCCTAGAGATAAAATTCCACATGTAAAACCATCCCTAAAAAAAGTACTTATATTGAAACCTTTGCAATTTTGTTTATTGTTTCCTTTTTTATATTATTCAAACATATTATTCTCCCAAGGTAAATTGCTCTAATTTACCTATTTTATTTCGAACAGATCATGTTGTTTGTGAAGAAGAATTTAAATACGCCATGTTAGCTTTAAACTGTATATGCCCCGCAACATCTACACTTATTACACTGCTGGTTCATACCTCTAGAGGGCAGTAAGTATAATTTTTCTTTAAGATAATGAATTTTAAGTTATATTAAAAATATAAGTGCAGTCATATGATTTAGAAAATAGTAAGCTAAGGTATACAGCTATATGTGTACCTTTGTTTGTATTTGTGTGAGCTGTCTTTATCTGATGGGAATCAAATGCTTGTATAAAAATTGACAGTGATTTGCTATTTTTTTAGTAGTCTTGAGATTCTTTGTTTCATCCTAAATTCTAACTGTTGACCACATTTGTCAGTCCTAGGCTTAGGGTGTGGCTCCTATTTTGGGGGTTAATGCCTGTGCAGGAAATAAAACTTTAAAAAAGTGATCCTGATAGTCACTAGTATAAGAGCATTTTTTTCTATACATAAGGTAAGTGTTTATCTTAAAACTGTATGCACATAATTGAGTTTGAAATTATAATTTCAAAATCTTTAGAGAATGAGAGAGCTTGATAGGTGTTTATAATATTCCACAGCTTATAGGAAATACCTGCTTTATATATATTTGAAGGTAGATGTGGGAAGTTTTGTCGTAAGAATCTTTTGTCCTTGTTTACTTTGATAGAGTTTCATAAAATGTATAGGTTATTTTTGACTTGAGTAACCAAAGAAAATATAGCTAGTGCATTTTGTACTTTTTCTGTATTCCTAACTTGATATTTCAGACAAAATGTTGAGTTTCTAAGTAAATTCCACATTGACAGTTATGCTTATGTTTATTTAAATTTAGTAAGCTGATTGATAGCTTTTTAAGTAAATACAAAGTCAAATAAACCCAGGAAAAGGAAAGTTCATTCTTGGGATTTGATATTAGATGATGATACAAGTTGATAATTGAAACAGTAAATGCCCCGTGGGGTTTTAAAGTAAATTTTACTCTCACTTCTAATTCCATCTCTGCTCTTTTGGGACAATAAAAGTTTCCCAGGAACATTTTTTTTTTCAAGGCTCTGAATAGAAATATTTTCTATTTTGTAAATTTACAATATTTTACTCTCAAAAATGGAAAGAATGTAGCAAAGTATAAGAAGTCATCATTTATTAAAAAATCACTCCACAATTTTGATGCAATTAAATTAAATAGTAGACAATTAAATGAGGCTTCGTAGAACTCTTTACAAGTATTCATTATTTTGCCATACCTCTTGTTCATAGTATTATATAATTATATGTTTAGGTATCTAGACCAGCTGCTATATTTTACAAATAATAAGATGAGACCCATTGACTCACTATGAAACAACTTATTTCTCATAGACTGAAGCTAAAATTACATTGCCAAACTCCTAGTAAATATTATTTAATGACTCACAACATTGCCTGGTGAACAATTTGTACTGACATTAAGAATGTCAGTGACTAGTAGCAAAGTTCAGCAAGTCAGAAAATAACAATTGCTGGTGAGGATGTGGAGAAATTGGGACTCTCATACACTGCTGGTGGACTGTAAAATGATATACCCACTCTGGAAAGCAATATGGCAGTTCCTTAAAAAGTTGAAATTATAAATAACATTTGACCCAGTCATTCCATTATTAGGTGTATATCCTAAATAAGTGAGAGTCAGGACATGAACAGATATATGCACACCCATGTTCATCACAACACTATTTACAATAGCCAAAAGATGGAAACAACCTAGGTGTCCATCAACTGAAGAATGTATAAGCAAACTATGGTACATAAACACAATGGAATACTATGCAACACTCAAGAATAACGTAGAATCTGCAAAACTACACATAATGTGGATGAACTTGGAGGACATTATGCTGAATGAAATAAGTCAATCATAGGAGGACAAATATTGTATAAGTTCATTACTGTAAAACGTCTGTATGGAAGGAAATTTTCTTTGTTGGTTACCAGGGGTGGGCAGGGAGGGGAAGGAAAACAGTTAGATAGGTAGAGACAAGTATTGATTTGGATGAAGAGGACAACATACCAACACGGTGACATTGAGGAAGAGGAAGACATAGAGAGGCTCATGGGAAGTACAGACAACAAAGATGGACCCTTTTGCACATACAGTACTTCGTTGTCAGTGAAGGCAACCACAGGTATACAGGTGGATAGATGGGTAAACTATTATGAGGAGCTCTGGTAGCATAGAGGCTAAAGCACTTGACTGCTAACCAGAAGGCTGGCGGTTCAAACCCACCAGCCACTCCTCGGAAGGAAGGTTGGGCAATCCTACTTCCGTAGTGATACTGCCTCAGAAACCCAAGGAGGGGTTGCTATGAGTCGGGGCCGACTCGCCGGCACATAACAACAACAACAACAGATGGGTGGAGAGGTTGAATTACTAGGTATGTCTATGCAGGGTGGAGTGTACCCAAGACCATGTATAGGGTTGGCAGACAATGTAGAACAAGTGTATTTTTATGTTCTGTAAGAATTCCCAGGTATACAGTATAGCTGATGAGGGAAAAGGTTTTAGTCATTCTTGGCCACAGCCAGCTACCCAGAGGGAGTAAGTAGTTGGACCTGTGGAGTCCAGACCATAGTCACTGGGGACATCAAGCTCAATTGGCATAGTATACTATATAAAACATTGTTCCACATCCTACTTTGGCAAGTAGTGACTGAGATCTTAAAAGCTTACAAGCGGCAATCTATAGGCAATGATGGGTCTCTCCTCGTCCAGAGCAAAAAAGAGTGAAGAAAATCATTAATTGGAAACAGTTATTCCAAGTGACTGGTACACCATGTGATCCTCAGTTTATACAGCTATGAGACCAGAAGAACTAGATGGTGCCTGGCTACCACTGTCAACCACTCAGAGGGGAATCTATGTGGGAAATCCTGTATAGAGTGGGAGAACAATGTGGAACAAAACTGAAAATCATTAAAAAAAAAAAA